GAAAGAGACTTGGTGAGGCCCCGGTGACGAGCCCACACTGATGGTAGTTTTGTAACTTACATCTACAATGCCCGTCAGGGTGCCCAGAGTCTTGTATGTGAAGCAATACACTTTTGTAGCACTGTTTGTAGCCAAAAGGCATCAGAAAACAACAAAAAGGGATGGGGTATCAGTCACAGCACCTCTGTGCTATGGAACAGTAGGTATGTTCCTGAATTGGGCAAGTCTATGTACAAAAGGAGCAAATCTCTAAGATACAGAAGCAGGGTACATAGGACAGGGCGCCCAACAGACGAGCATTAGTATAAAAGAGGGGTGAGGGGAGAGAGATATGTTGAATGAGTAAATATACTGCTGGGGACCCAAGTACAGAGACTCCTGTTATCTGCACCTCCCTGAAACCTGGACCAGGAAAGGCCGGCTTCTCCTAACTAGCAGGTCAGCTAGACTCCTCCCCCATGAAAGCTAGGAGAGTCCGTCCCATTTCCCTCTTTGCCCTGGGGGCTAGGAAACTCATGCTAAACTCTAAGCAGAAATGCAGTGGCTCTCCTAGGGGAAGATTTGAAGACACCACTTTCTCCTTTTATCCCCTTGTTGTTGTATTGACTTTTACTGTCTGTTAATAGCTTGGGATCTTACCATACCTGTGAGGCAATGAATTAGAACACAAGTCAAGATTATTGTGTGCTGGACACTTTACACTTCTTATGTTGTTCAATCCTCCTGGGAAGCCTGTAAGGTGGGCATAATTACTCCCATTTTACAGAAGAGGAAACTGAGGGTCAGAGAGGACCCAATTGCCAGAGGTCTCAAAGCTAGAAAGTGGCAGAACAGGGTTCGAACCCAACCCTGCCTTGTTCCAAATCCTCTTCTTGTAACCCAGTAGCACACTGTCCTCTTAGACAAAGTGACCCGCCTTGAAGGGCACTCTGGCATTCATTAGCCCCATTTTAAGGACGAGAAAACAAAGTCTCAGAGAGACAAAAATGGTTTCCCCAAAGCAATACGGCCAAACTGGTATCTGACTCCTATGCACTGCCATTTCATTCATTCAACCACCACCAAATCATTTTCGGTGTCTATATGGGGCCAGCCACTGGGTCGGGTGCCTTCTAGGCCACTTCCCAGATTTTATTTCATGTGTCCTTTATTATAGGACACCTGAAATCCACTTAAAGTCTGCAGAGTATGTATTTACTAAATTCAGACATGAACAGTGGAATCAAGTATCACCGGGGTTAGGTACTGAAGTTAAGACATAGTGAGTGAAAATCAAGTATAATCAAAATTATCCTTGACATTTCCTTAAACGACTGGCACATGAGACCTAGGAAATGTAAATGCCAGGAACTGACTGCTCTGGCCACCTTTGCCCTGGGGGGGCGGAGGCTGAGACTAGTTTAAAAAGAAGTGGAAAAGGATTTCTCTCTCTCTCTCTCTCTCTCTCTCTCTCTCTCTCTCTCCCCCCCCCCACTTTCATGTTCTTTCTGGCCAAGTGGGTAGAATTAACTTGTATAGGTTAACTAGTTTCTGTGCATGGGGTGTGGCTCCACTGTCCCTAATTTGTTTGCAGAGCTGTTGCTGGCCCGTGCTCACCGTGAGTCCCCTCGGCGTGGGAGGCACTTCTGGAGAAGCTGGAGTGGACGGCTTTCCGAGGGGATGTCTTCAGTTCAGAATTGGCCCCGTTGACGTAGACAGAGAACCCGTGTTCCAGGTGCTCCAGCCTCAATTGCATGGGGTCCTTGGCTTTCAAATGTTTTAATATCCTGGAAGAGAAACGATTGCTGGCTTCTCATTCTAGGAGCCTGGGCCACCGCCCACCCCTATGCGGGGAGGGACCTGCTGCTCTGACAGCCAAGCGTCTCTAATCGGAGGCCGGGTGGCCGGTGCCCAGCTGTTCATCCATAAACAGCCCTGAGAGGCCCATTACACACATGCAGGAGCAGCGACGGGGAGGCTGTTCCGGACCCTGCAGGGGTGTTTCTGCTTTTCATTCTGAGGCTCAGACATACGTTAGCAAAACCTTGGGCACTCAGCCTCGCCCCCAAGGTGGCTGAGACAAAAGAGGCGCGCGTGTACGCTGCTACACACAGCCCGGATCTCCAGGGATGATCCCAATTTCGCGCATCCCTACTTTGCGTGGATAGCAGCACTTTGTTCCACGTGTAACAAAACGCAGTCTAAGCCTTTGTGAGAGAGATTGCACGGAACACATACATACATCAGGAAACGGCCATCATCAGGCCAGGTGGACTGATTTTTGGCTTCAGGAAATAAATGTGTTCTCAAACACTCACCCCCTGATATCCCAAATGTCATTATTTTATATTCTGATGCAGTTTAAAAATACACCAGTGCAGGCTTTGCTCAAGATTAATGATGTGATGATCACACCCTTTGGCTAAAAGGGTCTTGGCGTGAGCATGGCCGGGTCCGTTGTTCAGCTTTCTCTAAAGCCCGACCTCGCACCCTGGCTTGGTCCTTTTCTCCCCAGTCCTGATGTTCACTGCTGTAAACAGTGTGCAGTGTCCCCTTCGGAATTGCTCCCGTGTGACGCCAAACCCTTCAGCGCCTTTACAGACACTTTTAGGCACCCCGCACAAACCAGAGTTATTTCCGCACAAGAATAAATACAACCAACCAACCATCACGGCAACAAATGTGCATCCTCTTCAGTGATTAAGTAAGTTCCCACCAAATTAGCAAAATGTAAATTAAAAAATATAATAGTAATGGTAATCACATGAAGGGTAGAAGGCCAACCCCTGTTCTAGATGCTTTGCATATAGTCAGTTCTCATTATTCACAATAGTTATGTTCTATAAAGTTGCCGCAAACACTGAATTAGTGAATACTGAACCACTGTTCCTAGGGGGAAATACAGGATTTGGTTCCTGTGAGCCTCTGGTCACAACATTTTCATCAGCCGATCAATACAAAACCTTGCTTTATGTGTGTTTCTGTTTGAAGGCGCCTTATTTAATATATACTTAATACAATAACACTGAACTCATGCCAGCAGCACTTCAGCTCATGAGTGAAGGAAGCTTATCTAACACGTGTATATTCTCCGTAAGGGACAGCTTGGGCTTAGAAATAAATGCGAGACACCACTTTACCCCTGTGCCGGGGGGCCAGTTTAAACAGCAAAGTCATCAATGAAAAGCACAAAAATATAAAAAACATGGTGAAACGGAGCAGGACCCTATGGTCTATGCCCCCATGTCCTCAGCCTGCCTTTTGTCTGTGGAAAAACTTTAGCCAAAGAATAAATTTCATCAGAGAAGTGAGAAAATGCAGAAACAAAGGAAAACAGTCCAGCAAGACTAAATAATAATAGTTTAGTCATTAAGCATAGTTAAGGACCCTTAGTTCCTTCTCAAGGGCTATAGGTAATATTCTGAGCCATATCCACTGAGCTGTCTTGTAGATACTGAAACCCGCACCAGGTGGAAGAAGTCAACTACATGATGATCAGTCTGTAGCCATGACACAAGCTCCCACAATTCCGAGAACTGGCCTCAAGGAAATGGGAACAAACCGACCCTGGAACTAAAGATTAACTGTACTTAAAACAATCAAATGAAAAAAACAAACAAACAAACAAAAAAAACAATCAAATGATGCTGGTCAGACCACCGCAGGACCAATTTCAAGATGACTGTCAAGAGTTGACTGTTCTGTTTCTGCCTGTAGCCCCCTTCCTTTGTCTATAAAAGTTCTTGCCCACTGATTGTCAGTGCGGGGGGAGTTGGCCTTTGGTCAGAAGTCCGCCCTCCCCTCTGGTTGCCGGCATCTGAAATAAAGCAAACTTTCCTTTCCACCAACCTGGACTCTTTATTGGCTTTTGAGTGGTGAGCAGCTGGACCCCACTTTCGGTTACAACAGCACTAAGTAAAATGTGAAAAGGACACTTTACAGTGTAAGATCTGAAACCAGAAGGCAGAGTGTTCCCTTGTTCTACCTTAGCTGGGAACGTGTGTGCTGGGCAACTAAAATTTTTTTGCCATCTGCATGTGTCTTGGAGTGACCACAAAAGCATTGCAAGTATTGATTTGGAGGTTACAAATAAATTTTAGTGAGTGGGTAAATTTGCAAATATGGAATCTGTGAATAATAAGGACTGACTGTATTAAGACTTTAATCTTTACAACAACCCTGTGGGGTAATTACTTTTCTTAACCTCATAGAATAGATAAAGAAACTGGAGCACAGAGAGGTTAAGTAACTTGTCTAAGGTCACACAGCTAGCATGGCATTAGGGCTAGGATGCAAATTGAAGCAATGTGGCTCCAGAGTCTTCACCACAACAAAGGTGACTTATAAAGCTAGCAAGCTGAAACTGGCAAACTTAGACATTGCTGGAAACTCAGAAGACCTTCTCAGAAGTAATATGAAAATAGAGAAAATGCCATATGCTTGGTCTTTGCCCAGTAAGCAAATTGTTTCTGATCAGGAACAATGGTCAGCATTCAGTCATAACAAAACCATGAAAGCAACTCGAATGTCCAACACTAGGGAAGTGGAAGCTGGGATCTCATGCAGCTGTTAAAATTACGAAGAGTCAGTCGAAATATAGGGGATTATTTGTGACCTGTTCAGTGGGGGGGTGAAGAAGGCAGGATAAAAGTGGTATATCTGTGATAAGTGCAAAGTTGGAAAAAAGTGTGTTTGTGGACCCAGAGTGGACGGTCATAAATGTGAAAATTAAATCAGCTGTTGAGGGAGGGTGGTGGTATTACTGGTGATTTCTTTGTTTGCTTTTTAAATGTTTCTTTAATGGTTGATACATCCATCTTGCCAATCGTGGCAGGAACGTTTATTACAGACTGCTTATCTCTTGCCAGCCTCGGAAGCCTGGGAGATGCCTGATTGTTGGGCAACAGCATAAAACAGAAGGAAAACACAAGTAACTAAGAGACAATTTCCAAACACGGCAGTAGCTGCATTCTCTGGAGCAAACAATCAAACGGCGAAGTGGGTACCAGCAGTCCCCGGGGAGGGAGAACAGGGAGCCCAGGGAGGGGCGGCACGAGGAAGATCTGACCATCTAGCCAGGGAGTGTCTGCCTCAACTTCCTTCCGGAGACCACCCTGTCTCCTGATGCTACCTTAATGGTCACGGTGGCATCCCGTTATCCAGGCTCTGTGGCTGGCGCTCCACACAGGTCTCTCTTTAAGCAGAGTGATTTATGAAAATGTGGATTCATGAAACTGATAAATGGGGAGATAATTATTCAGACTGTGAAAGGAATCACTATAGGAACTCCCCTGCTGCAGCTGAGCATATCAGCAGTACACACGTGGCATCAAAGAAAAGTGGGTGTTTTTTAACGGATAGGTTACTTTGCATAAATAGCTGCCCTTAGTGTCAGGGATTCAGAAAAATCAGATTAAGTCCCTGCCCTTTCGGAGATGGAGCCCCCAGCCACCTGCTGCCCTGTCACTCTCTATTCCCTTACAGATTCTGTTTGTTTCAGAGTACGTGTCTCCCTGCCTCATGCTATGGAATAGTATCTGTGTGCCTGTTTATTCTCCCTTCCTGCCCCCTGGGTGTGGGGTCCGTGATGAGTGTGAGGAACGGTGAGGAATACTCTCAATATTTCTGGAACTCAAGGTCTAGCAGGAGAGAGAAGGCATGGACGAGCACCCTAATATAGCTACCGTCTATCTAACCACGTCACAGGCATCATTTCCGCTTATCTCGTAATGACCTTTGGGGTCACTTGTACAGAGAGCTCTTTTGTTCAGAAGAGGAAGTGGAGGCACTGTGAGAGCACAGGGTGTCACGTGAGGGACTGTGACGGGACGGGACAAGAGACGCTTGACGGCTGGGTGGTCAGGGCACAAGCAGGGGTCCAGGTGGTGAGAGGACTTAGCTGAGCTCAAAGGGCAGGTGGCATGTTGCTCACGGGCCTAATTGTGACCGGGTTTATGACTGAACCATCTCGGTTTCTAAGTGCCCCAGTTACTGTGTGACTGTGGGCTGGCCACGTGCCTCCTCTGGACCTCATTTACCCCCAGGATCAACTGAGGGGTTCTCTAAGGGTCAGGCATTCAAGGATTATCTGCACATCATTTGAGAAAGCATGTTTATCATTAAAATGATGATGATGACAATGATTGATGATGATGATGATGATGATGATGATGGAGAAAGTATACTTGGATGGGTGGGCTTACTGTGGACCTCCAAGCACCTCATCCTGCTTAATCCTTCACTGGCCCAGGGATGAAGTTCCTACCATTGATCTGTTTTATAGATGAATTTGCCCAAGGTCAGAGAGCGGAGGAAGCAGCCAGGATTTAAATTCCAGTCCATGAGGCTCCAGAGCCCGTCTCCCAGCCACATCATTGTGCCATTGCTTGTCACCTCACCAGGCATCATGCCACAGGGGCTCCAAGCAAGGAGAGTTCAGAGGAGAAGCAGTGGCTCCCAGGTGGGGGCTTCTTGGAGGTGGTGTCATTTCAGTGCAGCCTTGAAGGATGGAGAGGAGGAAGGCAGTGGTGCAGAGAGCCTGCCATTCCTCCCAGAACCTGGGGGCCCACAGGCTCTGTAACTTGTCTTCTAGGATGCCACCACCCCCTACCCGTGTGGGTGGAGGACAGAGCTCTGTACTGGAGGCTCTGCCATTTCCCAGCTTTCGTGACCTTGGGCAATTCCCTACTCAATGAAAAGCACAAAAATATAAAAAACATGGTGAAACGGAGCAGGACCCTATGGTCTATGCCCCCATGTCCTCAGCCTGCCTTTTGTCTGTGGAAAA